GAAATATGGAATTTTTGTAGATATAATATGTACGGATGTGAAAGTTTTTATAGTTTATAACAGTACAAATAAAAATTTGAAATGTTTTGGTTTTTGCTCACATCATTTTTATAGATAGAAAATCCTATTTTTATGTTAAAAATACAAAGAAAGTTCTGTTACTTTACACAACTAATACAGTAATTGCAATTGCAGTAATTGCAGTTGTGGTATTACAAATAAATTACCATATCTTATTTGCATTTGTTGACTATAGGTATGCAATGTATTTAACATCTCCATTCTTCGAAGCTCCAATAATGATTGAATGAAATCCGGCGCTGACTGACAAACATGACCGGTAATTATTGACATATGGAAAACTTGTAAAGTAAATTATTCCTTGGTCCTTTCAACTGTGGAAGGAAAAATCACTCCTTTTTTTCCCTCCTTAACAAGAAGTAAATTGTAAATCTTCCACCTACCTGCAAACTCTGCAGACCTCCATAAGCCGTGAACAGGGACAGAAACCCAATTGAGACCACCAGCACATTCTTGAAGTTGCGGCTGATCATGGCTGCTTCTTTAAAAGTATATTTAACAAAACAAAAAACCTTCTCAGAGCATTAACCTTTAAAAACAAAAAACAAAGAAAAAGAAGTTGTGTTAGGTTTTTGTATTTTGTTTTTTAGATTCGTGGCTTCATGCAGCAGCTGCACAGAGTGAAGTCAGAGGTCGCTCACTGCTGAAGGTATTTCTGATAAACCTTTACACTGGAAATAACTGAGAACAAAGTCCAGCCCTCTTTCTGTCACACACATACGCCCATACACCCACGCATTACGCATGTTTTTGCAGACAACTATATATTGCATTTCTTATCATGTTGGCCTCAAAATATGGTGCAATTTGCTCACATATCAAGCTCATATATCAGACTGCCCTTCTTTAAATTCTGCACTTTCTCTGAGTCATCGCACATGTTTTGCCTGTAATTGTTGATCATTACTACTTTAAAGCTTCATTCTTCTCACTCAACCCCTCTTCCTCCTTCTTTTTAGTTCCTTTTAAGATTTTGAATCCAGACTCCTTGTGTGTACTTACACCATGCATACATACAGGAGCAGTGACCACAGAGCAAAGGTTTACAGTGTGTTACCTCTCATTCTTTACTTTTATGAACGTACAAGACATCTTTTGCTTTTCACAGCATGACAGCTTGTTGTTGTTGTTTTTTTAAACAGAAAACACAGGGACACCGCAGTCCCCTCTGTTATCTCAGCTGTACCCAAAGAGAAATAAATTCCAAACCAGCCAGTGAGTGCACGCAGATCATTTAATTTGTGTAGCTTTTGGTGAAGTTTTTTGTGACTTGTGATGGTCAAAAAGCTGCTTCACTGCGTCGGGGCTGATTTGACGAATGAAACTTCTGTCTATATTATCTGGTGTTTATTTAAAGCTATCAGAAGGGATGGCAGATTACAGGTGGAACAGTTTGAGACTAATCATATGAGCCAACTCTAAGAAACAGCTGTTTGAAACTCTTCATATCTCTACAGATAAAGTGTTGGGTGGTGTTGGCCTAATGAGGACAGATGTAGGTCACACACAGCACTGCACAGACCTGGAGCTTTTTCACTGCCTGTTGGATATCGGGCTGTCATGGCTTAGATATTGGGACTTGTCTGGCTTTGTCCTAATTTAAACGGGTTTTTCAACTGTTCTGATTTGCCTGAAGGACTTCCTGCAGTGTGTGTTTGGTTTTGTTTCTAATATTTTAAGGTCCTCAATACACAATACAATACACATACACACACAAAAACATTATTATAAAATGTTTGGGAAAAAGCTTGGCTTGGTTAAAAAGGGCCCAGTTTAGATCAAAATAGACCTTTTCTCCAGGCCTTATGCCAGGTGGCGACAGCTGTGTCTACAACAAGACTTGTGACCCTATAGAAGTCTGCGAGAACGCGGCTTTCTGTCTTTGTAAACACTTTAATGCTGAGTTTATGGGCTCAGTCACTCGTTTTGGAGCATGCTGAATAAAAAATGATGTTTGTTTTGAAAATCTTTTCCACGCTGTGTTTCAGACTGTAGTATTATCTGTGTGAAGTCATTGACTTGACTTTGGTTTAGTTGGGGAGGGTGGGGGCTTCAAAAGACGCACAAGAGTTTGTGAAACTGTCACAATAAGTCATTCAAATTTTTCCCCTTATGCACGTCTTTTTGTGTAGGAGAGCATGAAGCTGTAAGATTGTCCTCTACATGTCACAGGTGTACTCACCATGGCAACCACACACCGACACACATGTATTAAAAAACACGTCAGCCATACAAATTGTACAAATAATGTGTGAAAGTCTGTGATGGGTCTGTTTGTTTGTGTGTTCGTTGCTAAACCTTTGCACTGAGAGAAAAAGTCTCATGTCTGGCTTCACTTTTGCAATGTAACTGGGGTTAAATTTTACATGCGATTTGGGCAGGGGCGTAATTTCCAGGGGGGTTAGGGGGGG